ACTTCTTTCACTTATTGTGACAGTGCAGACATTCTTAGACCCACATAAGTGTAGTTTTTTCACTTATATTACACGGGAGCTTTTCGTCGAAGTAAACTTGACATTTAAATGAGATTTTGTAAGTAAATTGAACGAAAAAAACTACACTACAGTTTTTTTTAGGTAAATCGCCTAAAGGCAACAAACCATGCAACAATAAGAGAGAGAGAAATATATGAGAAGATATTCAGAACCAGAGTAGTATTCTGCTAGATTATTTCACGATGCATGAACAATTCATTTTTGTCAATCGGTCGAACTTTGGTTTGTCATCCATTAATAGTCGTTGTAAACAACAATGCTGATAAATCGATCAGAATTGAAAGACAGCTTGCGTTTTCGTATACACAACAATTAATGCGCCTGTTTAAGTGACAAATTTTATTTCATTATTTTGTAGGTAATAACCCAAACTTGTTCACTGCCACTATCAGCCGCGATCTTTTCAGATCTATTGTGTCTGCCCTCAAAAACGTTTAGAGTTCTTCGGCTAGCCCCGACTTCTCTATGAGACTCCATAGGCTAGCAATCAGATCCCCTGTGTAACTTTGGGCTCTTGGGTTTTCCTCACCCAGCATATGGAATCTTAGTCTTGGCAAGCCCTCACATCAGTAGCAAAGTATGTGTACTGCTGTTTCCTCCTCTTCCTGACAGAACCTGCACAGCAGTTCTTCAGTCAGACCTATCGTACTCATGTGTTTGTTGAGCCTACAATGCCCTGTGAGAAGTCCCACTAGTATTCTAGTTAATAGTTGTACTTCGTTTCTGGCTCAGTAGATATTCTGTGAATGTTGGCGATGGTTATTTAATAAACTCTTTTGCCTGTCTCATTCCTGGCGAGTTGTTCCACCATTCTTGAGATTTGGTTTGCATCCATGATTTGATACCTGTCTTTTGTATAGCTTTCGCGATACCACATAAAAGGTTCTGGGCCATTCAGAGCTTTGTTTGCTCCTGCTCGGGCAAGTGAGTCTGCCTCTTCATTGCCCGTACCCTGTGTGTGTGTGTGTGTGTGTGTGTGTACCCATGCTAGAGTCAGTCTGCCCTGACTGCCCAGTTCATTAAGGGTTTCTGAGCAGTCCCATACTAGCTTTGAGTTAAATTGCATTGAGTTAACTGCTTTGATTGCCGCCTGGCTATCCGAATAGATTGCAATGGTTTTCCCTTTAAACTCTTGCCTTTTACGCAGTGATGATGCCTAAGCTCAGTGAGATTCTTGTCTTTTACTTGGCCCCATAAATACCAGCTTCTGACCCTTCCTCGTTTTGGGGCCGTCCGTATAGACAGCAATGTCTGGATTGATAGAAGGTCCTTCCTTCCATGCCTCTCTGTCCGATATACTTATTTTAAAAGTTTTTTCAAAGCTATATTTTGGAATTATGCCATCTGTTGGCATACCTGGATAAATCGAAATGAAATCACTGTCGCAAATCGTTTTCTCATCAGAGCTCTATATATATTTTTTTAAAATAATTGAAATACACGATGTTTCATAACATGAAAAACAGTGTGACCCACTTCTAATGGAAACACCCCTGTATCTTACGTAATCGTTGGGTAAGGATCCTGAAATTTTCTGGAGCAAAAAATATACCAAAAATGCACTCTATGACCAAGTGGGGTCATCTTCAGTGATAAACACTGCTCGCCAACAATCATGGAACCATTCCAATTTCCGGAAAATGATATTGGGAGTCAAAATAGGTCAAAAATCACTTCAGATTCGGAATCAGGACGCCCAACTCACTAACTATTCATATTTATCCTGGAAAAATTTCAGTTCTGGAAAATTAAATTTTGTCGCACTTTTTATGGAAGCACCCCCGTATCTTACGTAATTGACTTTATCTTTGGACTTTCCCTTCCTTCTGCAAATTTCAGAACCCTACCTCAATAATTACGTGAGATACGGCGGTTCTTCCATGAGAAGTGAGACAAAATTTAATTTTTCTGAACTGAAAACTTCCTAGAAAAACTATGAATAGTTGGTGAATTGGGAGTCCTGATTCCGAATCGGAAGTGATTTTCAATCTATTTTGATTCTTTAATATCATTTTCCGGAAATTGGGGTGGTTCCATGGCTGTTGGCGAGCAGTGCATATCATTGAATATGACCCCACTTGGTCATAGAGTGCATTTTTGGTATATCTCTCGCTCCAGCAAATTTCAGGATCCTTACCCCACCATTACGTAAGATACAGGGGTGTTTCCATTAGAAGTGGGTCACACTATGTATTGAGTATATTTCAGTACACCCCTACTGTGGAAGTAAATTCTCATTTATACGTTATTTAGAATTTGGAAATGCTTCATTGGTTTGTGAGCAATAAAACACTAATACCCAGCGAGCACAAACATCCCTGGAATGTTTCGGGATGTTTTGAAAATGTTGGCATGAAGATGTTATCTTGAGACGTAATATGCACTGACTAAAGAGGTCTTTGAAGGATATCGTTTTTGTTCTTCTGTGGCATTTCTTTGTTTGCCTACTGAGAGGTATCCCTGGGATGTTTTGGGATGTTTTAGAAATGTAGGCATAAGGATGTTTTTTTGAGGCGTAATATGCACTTCCCAAAGAGGTCTCAGAAGGATATTGAAAGTATTGTTTTTGTTCTTTTGTGCCCTTTCTTTGTTTGCCCCACCACAACGTCTCATGCTTACGTCACAATACGATGAATTCTGATTTGTTTTCGATTTTGTTCTTCTTGTTCGCAATTGGTATTCGCGTTTGCAGCGTGTCACGCTTACATCACGCTGCTAACGAACAGAAAGGAATTTGGTGAAGTTTATTGTGTTAGAAGACTTATTTAGTTTGTAATAATGACCATCAGATGCAAGATGTGTTGTTCGGTGCCTCAGTGTAATCAATATATAAAAAGTACGAATTCATCAATACACAGCTTCTCCGCAGTTGCAAAATTATGCATTGTGGAGAACATTTCAAAAATTGGGAAACCTATTTCCAATTATATGTCTCTGTGTAGTAAGCACTACTCAGAAACCGATTAAGAAGGTAATTTCATATCAAGAAAATATTTTTATATTCAATCTATTTTTAATACATTTTTTCATCCAAGGGAAATGGAATCCTAATGCGAAAGTTCATTTTGACAAAATGCTTCAGAAAAATACTTCGAAAATGGTTTTTTTACAGCGATTTAATCGCAAGACGCGTTTAAAATGTTCTGTTGTGTCCATGAAAAGGCTTTAAAAAGAACTAGGAAGAAGGTAGTTTTGTGACATATCAAGGACATCTCGATAATTGCCGCCTGCGGCGGACATTGGCTGTTCTATAATAGTTCTATTATTCATGATGTGTGAACAGAACATCGCAGTAGAGGTTCAATGTCTCGAATTCTCGTACTTTTAACATCTCTGAGATGTTTTTGTGCTCGCTGGGTAGTGCTTATCGGTTAGCATTTTTGAGAGGTGATTATTTCGTTTATTGAAAAAAATATTTGTGATCATTCTGTGTATATCAAATACTTTTATCACATGGAATTATCAAAATAAAATAGATAGGTATATGGCGTAAATTCGACTATAGTGTGTACAACACTATTGATAAGTATCGAAAATTCAAATTCTTTCGATTTTGAGAAACAAATTGTGTTGATTGGAAAGTACACGAGGGGTGGGTATAATTTACGGACTGATGGCAATTTCCAGTAAGCAAATCTCTGTTTACATTGCAAATCTGAATTCATCTCAATTTCAGAAACAACTGTGTGGATCTGGAGGAAGAACGGCATGATCTAGATTCTAGATACCCGCATCTAAGTACCTATATTTAGTATATTTTTATGTGGTTTTCAGGATGGCTACCTTTCGTCTTCATATTCTACGATTCCAACCAATCCGCATAAACTGTAGCAATACTCTCAATACCCGCATCACCTTCTTATTCATTCCTCACCTTTAATAATTCTATTATTATATCAAGGTTCAAGGTATTTCATCAACGATTCCCTTTTACAAGCATGGCTTTATACATCTTTATATATTTGATCTGTAAGTAGGTAGGTATTGTCTAGCTGCGACGCGATTTTCATCGTTGATTATTGTTAACTATACTATATACTGTGCTATAGGTATTACCTATATACTATATATTCCAAGAGCCGGCTGCAAATTTCGACCGTCATCTGATGAGGAAATAGTAATTTTCCTAACAAGTGCAGAAAGTGATTCTTTCCCGCACGCGACTGCCGTTGACACGAACGACGCGAAGCGGAGTTCGCGCAAGCAGTCGAGTGCGGGAAAGACACTTTCCGCATGAGTTAGGAGCAATATTTTTTCTACAAGCGTAGGAAATTGATTGATGTGTTCAATTAATTATTCATTCATATCGGAACAAGTAACAAGAGAAATATATTCTCTATCTGGGTCATTCTCCAAAACGGGGACAAATTGACAATGATATTCAATAAGAATGAAAAATGTATCAAAATCGTTTAATATTCATCCAGTTGTCGTATTTGAACATAATATATCTCATATTGAACAGGCCAAGAATTGGATAATTTTTTAATCGATTTATGCTGAAAAAACTAAAAACTCTTCCCATGGAGTTGACGACCTCACCCATGGAGTTGACAATTTCATCCATGTAGTCGAAAACATTAACATAAACACAAAATTTCTTCGAATAATTGACTTAAATCCATTCTGTTATTATCTGAAAAATAATAACAATCTCATTAGAGTTTTGTTTCGATCATATAAATGTTAAATATTAGTACCTTCATAAAATGAATGAAGATTCCATGGAGTTGACCAACATAAAAATGATGCAGATAATACTACATGTGCTTTCAAAAACTCCAAATGAAAAACGGTTGAGTCGTCTGAAAATTAAAAAGTTATTCAATGTGTTAGGAAATTCATGAATATGTTTGTTACCTTTGAAAATTGAGAAAAAAATAAAAAAATATCCGATGATTTGATCCGAAAAACAGCTTTCATTTCAAAGTATTGCACATTAAAATTGGATCATCTTTGAAGAGGAATCGATTCCTTCGTAATACCTGAGGACTCGCCACTTTCTTGATTATACAATTGGAATTCACCTCAGATAGATCTTCTTCTTGTGGCCAAATGAAAATCAAATTATTTTTGGTAGAAGATACTCGTCTCATGAAGGTTATTTCATAAATAGCTCCATGAATAGCATTTACTTGACCAATATAATGAATCCTTGAATATTTTGGCCACTCCACTAAGACGAAGTCATCCTTCTCAAAAAACTGTTTTTCTGGTTCTAGTGATTCCTGGTTTTCTGGTTCTAGTGATTCCACGAAATCAGGCTGATTTGTAAATCGGATGAGAGGTTGATCATCTTCTGAATCTGATGAGTACACATCAGCATATCTCAACTTAGCAGCAAACTTTTGAGGAAAACTTTGAGTACATGAATTTTCTGGAATTTCCAATAGATTACCCTCTTTCATGAAATGTGTCGAGGGCAGGTTGTTTGCTAAGTCTGATGAGTACATATTAGTATCATTTAACTCTTCTGAAAAAGTTCGGTGAAGGTTCGGTATAGTGAATTGTCCTAGTTCATAATGCTCACAATTCATTTGAAAAGAACAATCGGGGCAACTCAGCCTACGCAATCTTAAACAATTTGGATTTTCGATTGACCAACATAATTGATGCACTTGCATTGTTCCTTTGAACGGTTTCAGATTATTGGGAACAATTTGGTTGAGGTTATCGATTTGTTCTTCAGATACACACTCAATCTGGATTCCGGAGCAAGATTCCTTCAGATGAAATATGAGTTGTTCAAAATTGGGGACATCATAGCCACATGCTACGAGCCGATCAGCGCTTCTTTTGAGACACCCACCCACCCCATCCACAGCTCCCTTACCATGACCGCTCTCAAAGTAATTCCACGAAATTTCGTTCACTTCTAGTATTTCTGCTAGCTTTGACCCAATCAGATAAAACATACTTTTGTTTTTATATTGTGTACTTGGGCCATCACTGCAGAAATGAACCCTTTTCAATGATGGCATCTTTTTTCTGATTGTTCTCACTAGTGGCAATAGATGAGCAATTATGGCGATTGGGTCATGCCGGAGATTCTTGGAAAAAGTGCAGAAGGATTCTGGTTTAATTTCATCTAATTTACGGTACCACACTACAGTGTGCATAGAAATCTGGGGCTTAGATCCTCCAAAGTGAGCGCTCTGGACTTCCCGAAAATATTTACATGTATAATTCTCGGAAAAATCAACATGAATTACAGTTTCCGTTTCGGGATTCAATTTTTTTTTCAAATCCTGGATCATTTTGAATTGGTGGTTCATGTTAGAAATATGATTCATGAATTTGGGCAAAGAACCAATCAAGAGCTTGACCATTTCACCCTTAGTACATTTGATTTCATCCTTGAGTATTTTTTTACAATTCTTTTCTACACCTTTTATATTTATGACAACGTTCTTCAATACCCATTTTTTGTAAGATGAATCCTCATTTTCTTGATAGGTTTTAAATATTACCTGCTTATGTTTACAAGTCTCACAAATTCTCTCCAAACATTCTCTTCGCATGTCACAACAAATTGTTCTGCATACAGCTTCAGGGTTGGATTCATCGATAATTTGAAGCAGTTTCATTTTAGTGACAAGAAGTAGCATATTTTCGTGAATCATACAAAGACAAGTTTCTCTTTTCGCAGCAGTGGGTATGACAACCCAAAAAGGTCTGAGCTTACAGAATGTTGCGTAACTTATTTTATACAGATCAAGATTTTCCAAGGCAAATTTTTCATATAAAGCTCTCAAGGAATTCGAAAGATAGCGTTTCTGTTTCTTACATTTCTTCACCGTTATCGTGTCTTTCTTGCCTGGGCACATTCTGCTGTTGTCATCCCTCTCATAAAATTTTCTGACAACAGTTATCAAGTTGGATCGTTTCACTTTTGTTTCATTTATTCTTTCAGATGCTTTATTCTTCTGGATCTTATGAGATCCAAATATTTTTTTTGTTTCATTTATCAGACGATATTTTTTTATCACATTTCCGGAGGTGTGCTCAATGAATTTTCGTTTCTTCTTGGCGCTATAACCTAACTCAATGAAATTTTGTTGAAGCTGGGTTTTGAGAACTTCTCCAAAAACCAGTTGGCGTCTAACCTCCTTCGATATTTTTTGCCCTTTTGTTAGTTCGGCAACTTTAATTCTCGGAGATTCTCGATTTATTTTGATAGATTGACTTTTCATTCTGTAGTATTTTGTTTTGTATCGTATTGCCTTCCTTCTGTACATATCTCGCTCTTTTTGGACATTTTTCAGTTTTCTCACTGTCTGGGAACGTTTTCTGAGCACTCTTTTTCTTCCCGCAGCAGATCTTCCTGATGAGCCTGGAATATTCGCAGGATGTTCATTAAATAAAGCATCCAATCGTGTTGGTGTTGATGGTGGAGTAGTTTCTTCTAGGAACCTATTCAAATTTTCCTGAGTCCTCCTTTTTTTTCTATATTCTGAAGATGTTTGTCTCCAGCGTTTCCTTATCTGTCTTTTCTCTCTGTCGTTTCTTTCGTTGATTGTTTTGATTTTTCCTGCATTTTTTCGTTGATGGTATCTTTCACGTTCTTTGCGCTTCGCTTCTTCATATAAATGAGGATCCAGTCTTATTCTTTCTCTCTTTCTTTGCTCAGACTCCCTTTTCTGTTTTCTTCGTTTATCTGATGATTTTTCCTTTGTATTTACCATTATTGCTTCAATATACCTACGCCGAATAAAAACATTCTCATTAAAAACGATCACCCAATACCGCACTATGATGTAAAATAGAATGTGTGCATCGCTTTTTATCACATTCTGTTCAATTATAATAATTATCTAAACTTGAGTATCATTGAATCTGAGCACATATGTGATGTGGAATTTCAATTGACGCAATTTTCCGAAGTGAAACAACTCCATGGACTTGTTGTTCAACTCCATGGACATCTAAAGACATGGAGTTGATGTCCATGGAGTTGGTGTTCTATAGTTAATATTCAAATATTTACACTGCTATTGAACCTAACCTCAAATAATTTCTCATGCATGTAAGACATTATTAGTTATACATTACTAGAATATTCAACGAATCTAAATGGACTCAGTCTATTTGTGATCAACGACATGGAGTTGATTGTTAATAAAAATACTCACCTGGAATTCTAACTTTGTCCCCAGAATCCCGAATAAATTGCCTAAAGTTAACACGTTTCTCTGACGATCTTCAACTAACTGCTCTTGCTTGAAATGATGACACCTTGAAACATTACCTCAGGTGACACCTATCGGTAGTTTTGACAAAAATAACAGGCGTCCATGGAGTTGAGTTGCAAAATGGTGTCACATATTATTCATACGTTTTACAATAACATTTCGGTGAAACTTCCTCTTTGCTTACACTCTCGTTATTGTTGAATCCCTTGAGAATATATTAACTGCAAAATAGTTTCATAATAGGGTTTATTTAGGGGTTCATGATTGATTTCACTTCACCCATAGCAGCTGGTTACAGTCCATGGAGGTGATTTCAAAGGAGTTTTTGCTTATAAAAATGGAAAAATAAATGATTTTTTTCGTTCTTTTTTCAACTCCTGTGAAGCACAAGTCATAAGCTATCATCTTCAATGTTTTTCCAGTCTCAACCTATTTGATATATATTTTTCACATATGAGTTACATCATATTGTCCCCGTTTTGGAGAATGACCCATCTACTGATTATTAGTAATAGCTATTGTGAACTTATTACAGTTTGACGCATTATGAATAGGTTCATTGCGGAAGCCAGCAGGCCCATAAGGAGTTTGGTCTCTAGGTTTCAGACTCTTCTATGAAATGAGCCAAAAATACCTATTCTTCATTCGGTATTTTCATTTCTTTATTGTTGCACCATTCAATAAAACGCGTGTATAGCTTCTCATACCTTTCTTAAGACTTCGTTGGCAATAACGCATCTGTATCGCATCCCTATAGCTAGTACAGGGGCGCGCCTAGACACTTCGCCGCCCGTGTGCAATATGTTCTGGGCCGCCCTCGAAAAAAATTCAAATGAAACGAATTTTGAAAACTGACATATTTTGGAAACTGAAAAGAAACAAATAATATATCAAACTCGTTTCAAGATGTCTCAAGAGATGATTGCATTCACGGAACATAACATAATATAAATAAACATAAGTAACATAACAAATAATATAGGAATTGAAGAATTCATATGAAATTAACAATATTTCATTAACATATGAGGTTCAGGTAATACTTTGAGAAAAACACATGGAGGGGCGATAATATCACAGTGAAAATCATAGAGAAAATATCATTTTTCTCGCTTTCTGCTGAGGAAATTCTTCGATGAGCATGTCAACATCGATTGTTTCTAATAATTCAGATTCGAAGGATATTGAAGCAAGGTCCTGGCTCATTTTAGACCTCAAATAGTTTTTTATTATCTCCAACTTAGAAAATGACCTTTCTCCATTAGCAACTGACACCGGTAAAGTTAATAAAATGTTTATACTGTGAAATCTGTTGTGGATGATTTTCTATTTTTCATGATAAATCACTTTCAATGATTTTAACTGATTGAATAAATCTGTCCCGTCTATATCTGCTTCCTTGTGATTTTCATCTATTAACTTTTCTTGCAAATTTTCATAACTTTCGAGTTAACTTGTTTCATCAAAGTCCTTACCAAAAGCTAACTAGAGAAATCCAGAACATTAATTATAATCTTTGAGAGACTCGAATCTCTCATCGAGAGAACATGTTATTTGGTCGGTGATGGCATAAAAAAAATATCTTGAATTTGCGTGCTGTTGGTAGTCAGTCTGATAATCATCATTTCCCTCGTGCATAATCAAACAATTTTGGTCTCTCTCTCCTTCTAGACGTTTCTGGAAAGTATGTTTCAGAATCTGAATTATCAGCTATTGTCCGAGAATTTTTTCAAAATTTTTGAATAGTTTCCATCGGATCTGAATGCAGCAAAAAAATCTCAAATTATTCAATTGATCAAGACATGCTTCAATATTGAGTGTAGAACATGAAAAGAATTTCCTACAGATGTTGATTTTTAACAAAATTTCATGATGCCATATCAGTATGGAACAGATGAATCGAAATTCATTGATTTTGCTAGCCATTGAGAATACTTTGTGTTTAGCCGACAAATCGAAACTATCATCTTGAGATACTTCCACAAGTGCATTGAAAATGTTCTTAGTCTGATGCCGAAAAGGTTTTCGTACGCGATATCGCACAGACAAAATTTTCATACAATTGAATGTAGTCCAATGGCTAAAAAATTCAATTCTTTCATTACTCAGCTAATGCCAAAGATTACTGAAATAGTTTATCTTCTGTAGTTTATGCTAATGCGAAGCGATGGTAGTATATCGCGAAAAATCGTGCCGTCATCGTCCTGACTCCTGTGGACCAGCGTAAGAAAGGTTGTTTGTTCTTATTTTTTCTTCTATTAAGTGTTGTTAATTTACTGAATGGGATTGAAATTTTATTACAAGGATTCCCATAGTCTACAGAGTAATATAATGTTCAAAATAACGAAGTATTATTTAGTATCTCGTGATTGGCCGCCCCTGAGGGTGGCCGCCCGTGTGCGGTGCACGCAGTTGCCACTGTATAGGCGCGTCCCTGAGCTAGTATAGCTGGACATTTTTGACACATTGTGGCAATTATACTGAATCGAAAATGACAGTATCGCTGTGTCTGTCACTTCGACAATTACAAACTCATTTGAGGTTTGATTGGCATGACAACAATAATCGTTTCCCATCAGATCAATATAAATCTATAAGGGGATTTTTATAATAATAAATTTTTATTTTTCAATATTTCTTAATTTTCATAATAAATAGTGCAATTTGATGGATGATTCTGAACATACATACTACAATTACTACAACAAGCAAACTCAAACTCTCATATTACATCACCTACCACTTATATTTTGCCATATTATCATATCTTTGTTTTCCCCAAAATTTTGCCCCTGTTAAAATATGAATACCTTTTTTTCTGCTGTGAACCATTACACTGTTCGCTAGCCTAGAACTTCAGCTATAATCTCGTACTTCTTTGGAACATGAGGTTATTCATATAAAATTGCTACCGAGTGTCACCTGAAACTGTGAAAAATTTCGTAATCTTCAAAAGGATCACAAATGAACAAAAATTATTTTTTTTCGATCCTGACAGCATGGGCATGAAGGGCATAACTGTTTTTCTCGTCAACCAATTTTCAAAATCTAAGGCTCATTTTGAAGCTGAAACTTCAGATAAAGAGGTATGAAGATCAGAATTGAGTCAAGATGGAAGAAACCCTGTATCTGTCGTAATCGTTGAGTTAGAATCCTGAAATTTGCAGGAGCGGTGGATATACTGAATATACACACTATGACCAAGTGGAGTCATCTCCAGTGATATACACTGCTCGCCAACATCCATGGAACCACCCACAAAAATGATATTAGGAGGTGTAAGATATGTGGAAAATCACTTCGGATTCAAAATCAGGACGTCTAAATCACTAACTTTTTATATTGTTCCTGGAAAATATAGAGGTAGATTTCAAAAACCTACCTGTCTCACCCCTCAATGTAACCCAAATCCTTGGCATAGCGATTTATTTGCTGCCATTATTCCGGTCATACTTCCGTCATATGATAACGAGTTGAAACATAAAGTGAATGAAAGGGAATAATGTCTCCTTTGCGAATATCCAAACGTGCCGAGACACAAACTGATCTGAGTTAGTGACACAGCATTAATATTTCTCAGAACATTTCGCCCCTCTCTAAGATGGACCAATGAAGTATATCTTATGATTATTCCTGAAAGATATTTCATGGATATCTTTGAAGTATGTCTTATGGATATTCCTGAAGGATATTTCATGGATATCTTTGAAGTATGTCTTATGGTTATATACCTGCAGGATATTTCATGGATATCTTTGGAGGATGTCATGTACAGGGTGGCCAACTAAGACTCCAGAGTTCGATTTCTCTGTTGTATTGAGAGATACAAAAAAAGTCATGTATCAAAATTGAAGTAATAATCGAGCTTCACATTTCAAAATTTCTTTGAAATACACAGGGTGTTCCGTAAGGTCACAGCACATCAAAGCTATGTTTTTTTCATTGGAGCACCCTATATTTTATTTCATTTTTGAATTCTCCCTGAAGATCTGATTTCAACGACGTATCATACTTGGGGTCTAGCAGTGAAAGTTTCCCACATATAGGGTGTGCAAAATCGAGATTTTCCAAGTTCAGAATTTTTTTCTGTCGAAACTGTTCATTATTCGTCAAAACGGTTTACATGTCCCTATCTCAACTTTTCACTCACTATCAATTGGTGTTCAATTGAAATTGATACAAGGTGGTCAAAAAATCTTAATTTATAATTTGTTTCAATCAAATGCCAATTGAACACCAATTGATAGTGAGTGAAAAGTTGAGATAGGGACATGTAAACCGTTTTGACGAATAATGAACAGTTTCGACAGAAAAAGATCCTGAACTTGGAAAATCTCGATTTTGCACACCCTATATGTCAGTAACTTTCACTGCTAGACCCTAAGTATGATACGTCGTTGAAATCAGATCTTCAGGGAGAATTCAAAAATG